GGTTGTTCATTTGAATTATTATAATAAGAGAGCCTTGCTAAACAATAGGCGTTAACAAACTACAAGATAAATACGTCGCCTAGTTTCTCTGGTGGCAACTAAGAAACTGAGTGAAAAAGTTCTGCATAAGAGCGATTTCGAGTTATAATATTTGCGGTCCAATGAGTTTTCAGTTGCGTTTCAGAAACATATCTCAATTCTTAATTGATGCCGGGCTTGGCAGGGTTGCGCACTAAAACAGAAGAGCCATGAGTTTACCACAAACAACATTTTTTTGACTTTCTTAAGTGAAGGCTAGAGCCCTTTTCACTTTAATATGAAGTGATCTGCACGACTCCAATTATAAAACCATGTATAATGTTTTTAAAGTCAAAAAACTTGTCACCAAACATTTAATGAAACCTTAGCATGTTTTATTAAGAACTGACAAGCATGGAATAACGTTTACGACACCTAATCTGCATCGGCTGCTGCCGCTGAAACACTTCTTCTCTGAAAAGCATGTATATGTTCCAAAAAATGTTTATTATTATTTTATCTCATTACTTATTACTATACTTACTTTTCGTTTTCTGGTCACTTTTCCCACTAAGTCTGGCACATCCTTCGATGTCATACGTCGAAGTTTTGCTTCTTTTGTTCCAGCTCGAACATCATATCCCTGGAAGTTGACAGTTATGTTTGTGGGCAGATCCGTATATTCGTTGCACCTCTGCATGAAGAAGTGTTATTCGCTTTGCCAACTCCTTCCAAGCAGCTTCATCGGCTGCCATGTGCTTTTTCATCCCCCATAAATAGTTTGCAGCTGTTTCGAGAATCACTTCCAAATGTGCTATGTATCCATCCTAGAAGAATAATAGTTCATAGAATACTTGAAATTTAATTCATTTACGAACGGAAATAGTATCGCCAGAGGGTTCCAATAGAACAGCCTGAATCTCCGCGTTGTCCTTTCCTAGAGTTGCTCCATTGTCTGGTCTTTCGACCCCTTCTCCCTTTGGCGATTCCCCTTTTTCCCTCTGCAACGTAGATATAGTTGATTGGACCCGTATCTATGCATGGTCATTTACTCACAACTTCTGTTATAGATTTATCCGTCTTAAGTCTTTCGTTTGTGCTCTTCTTCGTAAGATCACTTTTTCTCTAAATAAAATTTGTAACCCAGTCTAGACTCAGTTTCTCATTCTTTTACCCCACTTTCTCGAAGAGCAACACCCGTAATATGCATAAATTTACGCTTTGAATGTTATTTATCGATGATGTTTGTCAAAGATAAAAAATCATTATGAACGCAATTTGTAACGACCCAACTTTTTTCTGAATTCACCTCTCAAAATAGGAGAGATCTGGACACCTTCTGCTAAGAATGTCTCTCCGAGATTTGGCAAAAATTGTACTTCTGAGCGGGTGGCGTGCGTTAGATACCCGGTGCTCCCTCGGGCGAGAGCGTGCCAGACAGTTGGGTCCACGGTGATCGATTCCAGCGCGATTGAGCCTGACGCCAAGCGCATCTCAGACCCCGCCCGCTTCCTGCTCTTACGACGGCTACGTCATATTGCGGCCGCTATTTCAGCA